GTACAGGATGGCAAACACTGTCTTATTTACACTGTTAAAAAAGCTTATTATCTTTAACAAATACATTTTTATGGTCCCTTGCTTTAATTATTGTCTTTCACCTGTGAGGAACTGAAATTGCCTTGTCAGGCGAGGATGGGTTGTCTTGACATTTTTATTGCAAACCAGAGAGCAAGTGAGGTGAAAGCCAGAAATGTCAGCACCAGGAACTATCGATCATCGCGCTGACAGGCCCCCTGCAGATAAAATATTCCTCTTCTCTTCTAAGTGGCCGTAAAACTGATATTTCCCCTTGAAGAATTGATTCAGCGTCTGTGAAGCCTGGTTAAAGTCGAGCTCTCCTCTAACTCCTCGCTCTCCATTCACCTTCAGGTACGAGATTATGAACTTCCAGCGTGTAGAGTCTGGTGTTTACGACTACATCAACACTGGCTCCTGGCACGAGGGCGTTCTCAGTCTTGATGACGACATGCTCCAGATGAACCGCAGCGACATGGTCCTCTCTGTCTGCAGTGAACCCTGCTCCAAAGGAGAGATCAAGGCAAATACACAACCTCTACATTGTTCAAGCACATTTTGGGTTGCCAGGTTGGGGAAAATGACATTGGATTATGTTTATCATTTATATTTGGTAAAAAATTGAGTTTTAAATGCTGGAAATCTATTAGTGAAATCTCAGATAATTTATAAGACAGAGTCTGTAGTTATACATGTGAATTAAATGTTTTTAATATCTAAACTATATTTGACACTGAAACAAACAGGTAATTGTTACGACATGTAAAATGACATGTCTTTGTATGATTTGCTGAGCAGGTGATCAGGAAGGGAGAGGTGAGCTGCTGCTGGATTTGCACGGCCTGCAAAGACAACGAGATCGTCCAGGACGAGTTCACGTGCAAGGCCTGTGAGCTGGGCTGGTGGCCTGACGAAGAACTGGAAGGTGGGTTTGTTCTCTTTTAGTCTGCTCCTTCTTTTTTTGATCATCATCTGCTTGGAACACTCCGTACAAACAAGTGACAATTGGTTTTCCTTCAGAAGAAAGTTTGGGTAATTTGCTTATTTGCTTCCGTGCTGAGCGCTCACTGTTAAATCATAAGGCTGTATCAGGTAGGTACTTGGCTTTGCTGAGAGTAAAGGTGGCTGATAAACAACTCCTCAAAGGTTTGGGAGAATTTGTTGTCTTTCAACAGAACTAGTTGTTTCGTCCTGTTTCCAGTCTTTATGCTAAGCTATGCTAATCGGTTCCTTCACATATGACGTGCAGCTTCATATGCAAAATACATTCACATCTAAATGACTTTAGTGGCCTCAGGCTGAGTTCCTGTAGCATGATTGATGCTTCCAGAGATGTAATGTAATTAGAGGCTCTGTAAAAAGTTAAGTTCCTTTAAGCTTTTTCTCACCTCCTCCCACCACCTGTATTCTGCACAGTTTGTCCTGCTGAGATTTTTGTTGGCAGCACTTTTTCATAAACCTGTTCTGTCCTAGTTTCACTGCCTTCCCATGACATCTGAGAGCCATTCATCATCTTCACCATTTCATCCAACAACAGCCTCACTTCACTTACAGCTCCTCTGGCCCACTTTCAATGGCCCTTCTGTGCTCAAAGACACCATCCGGCCTCCGTGCCACCACTAAATCTTTAGATATAAAAGAAATGTGGAGCACAGAGGTGACAAGAATTGACTGCACTTAAAACCCTCCTTCTGTTTAATGATAAATCAATCAGATTTTCAAACTGTGTTCTCAACATAAAGCAGGATGCAGATCTGATTTGGATCCATGAAAAAACAGTGTTTTTCTTTGTCCTGCTGCATCGGCCCCTTCCTTCGATGGCTGCGGCCCAGCCTGGCCATGGCACAGTAGAAAGGTTTATTTATAGTTGAGCTAAAAACCTACTTTAAGACTTACTGCATTTTTCACAGGCTAAAATCTATTTGATTAATTTTCACGCAACACGATCTCAGAATCTTTTCATTCTTTCTGTGCAAAATTACATTTGATTAAGCACTTTTAGAATCCAAACTAGCTTACACAAAAAATATGAATATTATATCAGCTGCGTTTAGTGTATTGTGACTCTTATTATTTATTCTTGTGTTTTTCTCCCTTTTCAGGCTGTGAACCAATCCCCCTGCACTACCTGGAGTGGAGCAATCCAGAGTCCATCATCCAGGTGGTCTTCTCCTGCCTGGGAATCCTGGTCACGTCGTTTGTTGCCTTTGTCTTTGTCTTGTATCGTGACACGCCCGTGGTCAAGTCCTCCAGCCGGGAGCTCTGCTACATCATCCTAGCAGGCATCTTCCTGGGCTATCTGTGTCCGTTCACCCTCATCGCCCGCCCCACCGTGGCCTCCTGCTACCTCCAGCGGCTCCTGGTTGGGCTCTCAGCTGCCATGTGCTACTCTGCCCTGGTGACCAAAACCAACCGGATCGCCCGCATCCTGGCAGGCAGCAAGAAGAAGATCTGCACCAGGAAGCCGAGGTTCATGAGCGCTTGGGCTCAGGTGGTTATTGCCTCTATCCTGATCAGTGTCCAGCTCACTTTGGAGGTCACCCTCATCGTCATGGAGCCACCGGAACCAGTCAAATCCTACCCCAGCATCAGAGAAGTTTTCCTCATCTGCAACACCAGCAACTTTGTGGTCGTCGCCCCTCTGGGCTACAATGGCCTGCTTATCCTGAGCTGCACCTATTACGCCTTCAAGACCCGCAACGTTCCTGCAAATTTCAACGAAGCCAAATACATCGCCTTCACCATGTACACCACATGTATAATCTGGCTGGCGTTTGTGCCGATCTACTTTGGTAGCAACTACAAGATCATCACAACATCCTTCTCCGTGAGCCTCAGCGTGACTGTAGCTTTGGGCTGTATGTTCACACCAAAGATGTACATCATCATTGCCAAACCAGAGCGAAATGTGCGCAGTGCATTCACCACCTCTGACGCTGTGCGCATGCACGTCGGCGACGGCAAGATTGCCTGCCGGAGCAACAGCCTGCTCAACATGTTCAAGAGGAAGAAGAACCCTGGGAACGGCAGGTAGGTTCATTAATTGAGTCTGAGTCCCGCTCCTGAGGCACCTCAGGGATGCTGGTTTTACTGTAATTCCCTCTCAAAGGGAACCTGACGTCTTACTGTATTCACTTTCATAGGATCACCTGTTGTAAAGTGTGACGGATATAGGTCAGTACTCAATTCACACAGCCATCTTAACCTTTAACCTGTTGGTAAAATTAAAACAAGCATCTCTGTGTGCTAAGGGATGATAAGTGAAGTCACTAATACAGAGTACCACAGGGTTTCTGCAGGTTCAAGACCTTTTCTTACTGCATAAAATTCAATAGAATGCTATATGAGAGTATAGATGTGTCAAAAATATCAGCAGTATATTATAATAATTCCTAATGGTACAGATACCACACAGATAAAATAGAATGGATGAAATGTGTTGACCGATGAGCGATGATTTTGATATTGAAATTGATT